GAACCTGCGAATTCGATGTTCAAAGTCAGAAGCGTTATCCACTGAGCTATGTACATCCCGTAAACTCTTGTTGCTAACCTATTTTCGTTATTCAACCAACTACTATCAAGTGCAGCTGATTTGCCGCTATTTAAACTCGACAGCGTGGTTGTTGTTGTCAATTCTATACATCCATTTGCTTATTTGCTTTTTTGTATAGTTTCAGGCAGGCTCTTCCTAAACTATGTATTTGTCAATGTTATTGTGGCTTGTTAACATTTTATTTTTAATATTTTTATTGAGCTTTGTACCACGATTGTTTATTAGGAAAAATTGAAAAAGCAACAAAGTCTAAGCGGTAGAAGTTATAGCACTATTTCGGAGATCACCACATCTCCTCATCAGACTTTTTTTTTCTAGACTTCAGCAGGGATCGAACCTGCGAATTCGATGTTCAAAGTCAGAAGCGTTAACCACTGAGCTATGTACATCCCGTAAACTCTTGTTGCTAATTCATTTTCCTTATTCAACCAACTACTATCAAGTGCAGCTGATTTGCCGCTATTTAAACTCGACAGCGTGGTTGTTGTTGTCAATTCTATACATCCATTGGCTAATTTGCTTTTTTGTATAGTTTCAGGCAGGCTCTTCCTAAACTATGTATTTGTCAATGTTATTGTGGCTTGTTAACATTTTATTTTTAATATTTTTTTTGATATTATTATCAGCGTTGCCGCGAATCGTTTTTAGTGGTAGCTAAATTCCAGCTAAAAAAGGGCTAAAAAAGCTAAAAATCGTCGTTGTGGCTAAAAATGGTAGCTAAATTTATTTACCTACATCTTATATATAAAAATAAATGCACGTTTTTGGTGTGACCTCATAACTTGAGAACAGCTTCACCGAATTCAACCAAATTTATGTGCCATTTTCGATTTATCATGCAGATGGTTTATGCGAAGTTTTCCCGAATTCGGAAGAGGGGGCGTGGCACCACCCATACTAACTAAAATATAAAAATAAGTGAACGTTTTTGGTGTGACAATATAACTTAAGAACGGCTTCACCGAATTCAACCAAATTTATGCGGCATATTCGGGCCATCATGCAGATATTTTATGTGGAGTTTGCCCAAATTTGGAAAAGGGGCGTGGCATATGTATGTATCTCATGTATACAAATAAGTACACGTTTTTGGTGTGAGCTTATAACTTGAGAACGGCTTCACCGAATTCAACCAAATTTATACGGCATATTCAGGCTATCATGCAGATGGTTTATGTGAAGTTTGCCCGAATTCGTAAAAGGGGGTGTGGCACCTTCCATACTAACTAACATTTTTTTGTTGTATATCTCTTGAAATATTTGAGGTAGAGTACTGGAAGTTGGTATAGAGGTATAAAAAATAATTCCATACTCATGGATAAAAATGGGCAGTATTGGAAAAGAGGGCGTGGCACCTCACATCTTATATATAAAGAATAAGTGCAAGATTTCAACCAAATTTATACGGCATAGTCGGGCTATTATGCAGATGGTTTGTGTTAGGTTTCCCCGAATTCGGAAAAGGGGGCGTGGCACCACCCATACTAACAAAAAATTTCATCTGGTATATCTCTTGAAATATTTGTGGTAGATTACTGGAATTGGTAGCTATACGTGGCCTGTACAAGAGTTATGTGTTGGATTAAGATTTAAAATAAAGAATAAAAAATTTTGAAATAAAACAAATGATAAATTTTCATATAGAAAAATTCCAGGACTTTTCATTCGTTTTTCAATATTTGGTGTAGAGAAGCACACCGGGGTACTGCTAGTATAAATATATAAGTATACACGCAAACATTTTCTATAATTACTGGTATAGAAAAACAATGAACTCTGAAAAGAATTAATATTTTATTCAACAAAAAAACTTTTTGTGTAACACATAAAGCATATTAAGGGCCGCCAACTTACCTATTTTAAAGTATAGTTAAATCGTTAATGGATAAGATAACGGCCCAGAAACGTAAGGAACATACATAGACATATGTTTACTTGCCTTAAAGGAAAGGTGTTCGCTTTATGAGCGAAGAGTTAAATTCATGAAAATCATAAAAAAAATTTTAATGTCAATGATGAATGTATTTTGAAAAGGGCTAAAAAAAGGGCTAGGGGCAATTTCAAATTTTTGTGGCCAAAAAAAGAATTTGGTAGCCAAATTTAGCCACCAAAGGGCTAAAACGGCAACACTGATTATTATTACATTTTTAAATTTTTCCTAATAAACAATCGTGGTACAAAGCTCAATAAAAATATTAAAAATATAATTTTTTGTTTTCTTTCAATGTCAGAACATATGCACATAGAGTTAAACATTGTTACCTTTCCTGAACATGAACTAGTTTTTATAAATCCTAGAAAACGAACTGGGAACTCCTTCGCCTTATTATGGAAGAAGCTTGAGACCGAGGCTGAACAGCTTATATATAGCATATATTGTAATATCTTTCAACCGTAGCTGTCCCTAAGGAAAGGTAAAATTCAAACGTTATGTGCCTTGGTGGAGCAAGAAGCTTGAGAAAATGAGATGCCAAGCTAGAAAACTATTCAATAGGGAAAAACCCACGGGTGATTGGAATCCGTATAAAATTGGCCTAACCTCCTACAACAAAGAGTTAAGGAAATTCAAAAGAGCTAGCTGGCGAAACCACTGCTAGGAAACTAACAGCCTCCCTGAGGAGTACAAAAAAGCAAAAAGCTCTAACAAGGGATCATAAGAACACAGTCGGCACTCTGAAAAGACCAGACGGGAGCTACACACAGCATCCGGGTGAGACCTGCAGACTCTTGTTAGATACTCATTTCCCGGGCTATGTATTAGGCTACTGTCGACCAGAAGTGGGTGCTCCAACATATAGCCCTTTGTGCCTTTATTGGCATTTCGGGGGCTTTTGATAACACATAATATAAGGCAATAGATGGTGCCTTGATGAGCAAGGGTATAAGCCTAATAATAAATAAATGGGTTCTATCAATGCTAAGAACACATAAAATCAGTATAGAATTAGGAGGTACGAAAAAATCGATAACAGCCACAAGGGGTTGTAGGGCGGGTCGAAAATCTAATTTTTCTCAAATTCCTTGGAAATAATGAAAATATATTGTATCACGAAGTCAAAAACAAGCCTGCAAAATATTAGTATTTTATTTTAATTGTAAGAGCCCGCGCATCGACCGCTAAGTGACCCACAGCACATTAGTCGAATAAGACCAATTCTTGTTAAAAATTCTGGGCTCAGCAATAAAGTTTGGTGCATATTATTAGACAATGAATCTGTTAACGCAAAAGATAAAGTCAAATATCATTTCTCGCAGCCCTTTAGCTTATCGTTAATCTCAAAGCTAGCTTTTTTCAATAAAATTTTAATTGTTCTCTTGATAATTGCACTGGCCTATAGTCAAAAGATGTAAAGAACAGCATTAATATTGCTGGGGTGCATTTAGATCGCCGGTTCCAAATATTCAAAATTTTTTTTTAATATTATCTATAGTTTGCGAATTTTTGAATATTTAGGAACAATTTCGGTAGCTCTAATAGAAAAGCCATTATTTTCCATCGTGGTGGAAAAATTTTGTTTATGCACATGAGTATGGAAACACTGAACGGGCACAACTTCTAGAAACACTAATTAGTTCACTTATGTTAATGCATACAATTAAAAAATTGCAAATATAGGAAAATGACAAAAAAATTTTTTCAAAATTTTTTTTATTTTTAAATAGTCTGTTTATAATCTGAACGATTTTATTCATATTATTATCATAAATCAGTAACAGTAAGTGTTGCTTTCAATTTGGTAATTATTACGTACCGATCGAGTAACATTTACCAAAGTTATATTCAAAAACTTAAGTGGAGCTCCAGTTTTTTTCTAAAAAAAAAGTTTTCGGCAATTGAATGGTCGCCGCGAGTAACGTTGTAAGCGACAATTTTCTTAAAACAAACTTCTTTAATTTTAACGATATAAATGTGCAAGTTTATTGATACTACTGTACCGAAAAGTAGAAAACCAAATCAAATGAGCTTATGTATGTGCGTCATTAAACACATTTTCTTTTTATTTCTGCAAAGTTATAATCTTGTCGCTTAAAACGTTATTCGCGGCGACCATTTAATTGTATAAATAACTTTTAAATGAAAGAACCGGATTACAGAAAAGTGGCCAGGGAGTGACTTTTTCGTTCAAGCTGAATGCAAAGCAATATCGTTCAATTGGAGAGTCCTCAAAAGGATTTCTCAGGATATGTTAAAGACTATTGCATTTATATACAGTCACTTTTTCACATAATGGAATTAACTAAAATATTTATGTATATCTAAACACTTATTGCACGTTCCCTACCTTCATATAACGGCAAATTAAAAACCGCGAAAACTTTTCTTTTTCAGTGCCTAATGAAACCATTCCGCACCAATTTTCAAGACTACATAAATGAACTTAAAATGGGCGTTTCTCACCGTAATTGTATTATGTTAATGTATGTATATACTTATATGCTTGAAACTACTATTAACTTATCAAACGATTCCTATTCTTTCACAATACATGCTTGACTTCATTCACCACGATCTTGAAAACTGACCAAATCGGCGTGACCACCCAGCAAAAAATCGGTAATCGCTATTAGTGGTAACGTGTTCTAGAAGGCATAGCGTTATAATGCCTTCGAATTTTTTCGCTTCTTTAAGGCATTGCCGGTTATGCAAAGTAGAATGTCCCACAAAATTTTATTTATTTCGCTTCTTTGTTTCATTTCGGGGAATGCAAAGTAGAATGTCCTATAATATTTCTTTTTTAATTGGCTTCCTTGCTTCATTTCGGGGAATGAAAAGTGGAATGTCCTACAATATTTTATTTGTTTCGCTTCTTTGCTTCATTTCAGGGAATGCAAAGTAGAATGTACTGATGCTTTCCATTTCCAGACATCCGGTCAGGTACGAGCATGATTTTTAATTTCGACCAAACTCAAATACATTGTTTGTTGGTCCAAATAATNTTCGCTTTTAGAGATTTGGGTTGATTGTAGTTCAAAGTATCCCTTTCCCGGTAAAAAAGTTTAAGAGAAAAAAAAATNGATGCTTTCCATTTCCAGACATCCGGTCAGGTACGAGCATGATTTTTAATTTCGACCAAACTCAAATACATTGTTTGTTGGTCCAAATAATGAGACACGTATTTTTTCTTTTGCCTCGGAAAAATTTTTCGGCCGAATTAAACGCGATTTTGTTTTTCAGGAAAAAATCGGCTTTTCGAATTGACAGTTAGAATGTTTTTTTAAAATGCCCATAACATTGACAAAATTTAATAGATTCCAACAATGTTTTTACTCAAATGTCAGTAGTTCTTGTCACTTCAAGATAGAATGATATAATTATTGATTATCATTATTTAAAATTTTTTATTTAACAATAAACAAAAAGTGCAAATTTTTTTTTAAACTTAATTTCTCAAAAAGTGTATTTTTTTTNCACTGTCAATTCGAAAAGTCGATTTTTGCCTGAAAAACAAAATCGCGTTTAATTCGGGCGAAAAATTTTTCCGAGGCAAAAGAAAAAATACGTGTCTCATTATTTGGACCAACAAACAATGTATTTGAGTTTGGTCGAAATTAAAAATCATGCTCGTACCTGACCGGATGTCTGGATGTCTATCTATTATGTTGGCCTAACGTCATCAGTAGAATCGGATCGAAAGTACAGTAAAGCAGCTTTAATCTATATCTATATCTATATACGTAATCTATACATAGTAGGGATGTCAATTTTCGGGGTTTTGTCGATCCCGGGATTTTCGGGATCTGAAAATACAATCCCGGAATCCCGGGATTTTCCCGAAATTCAGGCAAAAGTGCAACACGGTGACAGGTAATAAGATCAACGGAAATAAGGTCAATTGACTTTATTTCCCACCCTGGTGCGACATTATTACCTTTTTAAAAACGAAATAAAATCCATTGACATTATTTCTCTTTCAAACATTAAATTTGCTTAGCTTCGCGGCGGCCCGCGTCAGCGCGCACCACCGCGCGAGCCGCGCTCGCGCTCGCGCCCCCGTACCCCACGCGAACGGCGCGCACGCCACGTCACGCTACGCCGCGGCCCCCCAAGGCCCCCCTTCCCCGTCTCCCTTCGTGCTGTAATGCAGGTAGATTTATTTTTTGTATACGTTGAAATAAAATTTGTATATATTTTAAACATCGAGGGCTTATATTCAATAAAACCCTCTATCTGCACACTTTTCACAAAGATGAGATTCTGATATAAAAATCCACCTAAGCTTTAACTGTCATCAGTGATATTAATGTTACCTTATATAACGACAGGTAATAAGTCCCAGATGGTTTCTAAAATCACAAATTAGTTTTTGTGCAAATTGCAGATAGAGGGTATTAATGAATTCAAGCCCTCGATATTTCACATTTTTATATTTGTAAGTTATTGGAAGCAGGGATGCCAACTTGGCTCAAACCGTGCCATTTGTTCCTATTTTACTTCAAATGGCACTTAATTTTTCAATTTGGCACAAAATGCCAAAATGGCACTTTTGTAAAAAAAATAACATTTCAATACATTTTTGTGAAATCCTTTGCGTGCACTTCTTTTTCTCAACTAAAATTTTCTAATTTATAAAGGCTATAGGGCTATTCAATCTTATTTTATGATTGCACTTTTGTTTGGAAAATGTAGCTTTATTTTATTGC